TCCCCAGCCCGCTCCAGCATCCCCAGCCCGCTCCAGCATCCCCAGCCTGCTCCAGCATCAGCATCCCACTGGACTCCGGGCCGACAGCCGGGACCAGCCTCACCTCCTGCCCCGCTCCTACCCACTGTGCATCCCAAGCCCTTTTCACAGCCTAAAGGCTTAGTTTCCCCAGAAACACACGCCAAAGGGTGTTTCTGCTTTGCATCCAAACTTCTTTGTACGAGTTGCACACTCTGTGGGGGAAGGAGGCAAAAAAAAGTAATCGGTCATCCCAATGGCATTTTAAAACATCAGACTGGGAAGACAGAACCTGTGCCAGCTTAGATCCATCCTTCCCTGATACTGCAATGGGTAGGGGTAGGAGACTCAGCCATGCAGGTCTGTGGCCCAGCTCCTGTGCCAGCAGTATAAGAGCAGTGGTAAGAACCCTTCTCTCTACTGTGCTTCGCATTTCTCATTTTTAAATTTGGTGTTATCAGGGTTTCTTTCTTTTTTCTTTTTCTTTTTTTTCTTTTACTCCACTTTGAACAAGCTACTTCTTTCCCCTACTCTTAAGCACATTATGGTCTGTGGCCTTCCCAGCTCTTGAAATGGACCAGTTTCCAAAATTCCAAGGGGTGAATAAAGAACCCTCCAGTTTGGTGTTGGTGTGAGCCCAGGGGCACAGGTCTGTGGGTTCTGCTTGGGTGCAGAGCAGGAGCTGTGCTGGGCACAAGGAGCAGCTGGTGCTTCCAGGGAAAGAGCCATGGCACATAGCCTGGCAGCTCCTTGTTCCCTGGGAGTTCCTTGAAAATGTCCTCTTACTACAGAATTGTCCTTGATCTACAAGGAGTAACTTTGTGCATATTGGCTCCCATTGTCTCCTTTTAGCCAGAAAATAGACAATCCACTGGCTATTGTTCAATCTGGAGATGGGCCAAGATTGGAAAGGGAGATAAGAAAATGACTGTTTGCAGCTGTTGTTTGGACTCTGGGCACATCCTGGATAGAGAAAAGTCATTTCCCACACTGGGCTTGGAATTAATGTTGCTGTCCAACAGGGATACCAGGGCAGAGCTGCTGAGCTCTTCACCATCATTCTGGAGCTGAACTCGGGCCCTGATCTGGTCATGTCCTCAAGGTCTCTTTTAGTCAATGGATCTCCAGGCAGAAGCTGGGTTGCTTTGCTGCAGAGTCAAAGGCAGTGGATGTATTTCCAGACTTCTCATTGTCCACAGAACTGGTGTGACCTAACCCCACCAGCCTGATAGGCAGCCCTGAACTGATGAATCCAGTTGCACTCAGAATCAGAAACGCAAAGGTAGGTGGTGTAAACTATGGAATTCACATAGTTCTCGATAAAGGAAAATCCTTCAAAGCCTCCCACAGTAATCAGCACATTGGAAATGCCTTCCAGCACAGGCATTGCCAAGGAAATAAAAAATTCCATATTTTTAAAGTGATACTAAAAGAACAAAACACCCATCCCAAATGTCTTTTAGGAAAGTGACAGAAAGCTTCTTGTACTGTGTTATCTTCATGTCTGAAAAATTAAACCTACCTATATTGAACTCAATAATACAGCTGTGTCCCGGGGCACTAGCAGGGGAAGACTGTGAAGAAGAAACTTTATTTTTGAAGGAATCTATGACAAATGCCTTACTTCTGACACCTGGTAAGTGTGAAGAGGCCCAGAAGTTAAATCCAACAAAAGCCATAGGAAATTTATTTACCTTGGTAGGAACACATCAGCTCTCAGGAATTTGGCATAGATAACACCTATCTGTCAGATACTTGGCAAAGTCCTGACAGTGAAAAATTCAGAGTTTCTTGCCTTAACTGATGTGAACAGTCTCACTGCCTTAGGGAAGGGGATTAAAAAGTCTACAAAGAACAGCTCAGAATGTGAGTCCTTGGGAACCACACATGTAGGCTGATACATGGTACTAGTCCTGAGATGACAGGGGTAAGCAGATCCATAAGGTGAAAGGGAAGCCTCTACTGAACAGAGTGAGCTGTAGAAGTGTGTGATACATATCATTAATTTGAATAAAAAGTTAAAAAATTAAGTATTTAGTTCATCTGACCAACTACTGCTTAACTACCCATGCTCTCATTAGCCAACCATGCAAAAACCACAGGTTAGAGTAAGGCCAGTTGGGAGCTTTTAATAAAATGGAGCAGGGTTGAAATAATTTAGAAGATAACATAGTATTGGGTTAATGAGTGCCACACATGGCAAATACATCAGATTGTAGTGATGGGATGATGGGATGGATGAAGAAAGTTGGTACTGTTCTGATAATAAGGACAGTGGGGAAAATGAATGATCTATCAGTGTGTCACAAATTGTTGCCTATCTCAAAAGTTAGGCCTTTAAAATAATTCTCACTAATTCACCAGCTGATCTCTTTTAAAATTGTAAGCTAATTTACTAATAATTTTATGGGGAAACTAAACCAGCAAGCATTGATTGAGTTTCTACTGATTAGCACCAAACTCCAAGGCAGGCAAAACCATAGAGGGAGAAGATTATTTTGTCTAAAACAATTGAAGCAGGATGACCTCAACACTGAGAATCAGCAATTTCTAATTCTGTTAGCCCTCAACATATGTTGTTTTTGGGGAAATCACAAAGACTGGCTGATGAAAATGCATCTGTGCATCTGCTGGACTGGAATCAGGAGTTGCATGGGCACATTGGGAAGTTGCAGAAAGATCAGCCAATTAGACACTACAATATGCACAACATTTGCACAAGTGTGGCAAGGATATATTGTGCATTTTGATATAAGCCAAAGCTCTAAAAAATCAATTCAAAAAAGTAAAGAATATAATTTCCCTACCCTATGTGTAAAGAGCTCTCTCTGTTCTGAATATTTGTTTTTAAATCTTTTGCTAAATATGAAGCAAGCTGAGGCCAGATCTACCAGATCCTACTGCAGTGCTAATAGGAAGCCTAACAGGCTGTTAGGTACTGAGGCAATTCTTCCTGAAGTCTCAGTCTGCTTCTAGCCAGCAGCTGTTCCAGTGGGTAAGAGCCTAACGTCCATAATACAAATAATAAGGAGAAAGTTGCTGGGACTGTAAATAACAAACAGCCCCTTTCCTGTAATTCCAGCATGCACTTATCAGGTCATGCAAAAATTTGTTGGATAAATAGCCAAGAAGGCTGTTGGCCAAGAAGGACCTGAACAAAACAGCAATTTCAAAGTCAGGAGAAGCAAATAAACCAGGAAGTGACTGTCTTTTGTCTTGCAGTCATTACATCTAAATTTCCTCCTAAAGAACCTAAGGCATGACAATGTGCTGTGTCAGCCAGTGAATTGTACACATGCACCACCTAGGCCACCAAATCAGTGCTCTCATCTGCTTGTACAACAGTGTTTTGTAAACACAGCTTGCTAAACCTTTTAGCATTCCTGCAGACATCATTTCATCTGACAGTCAAATGCAACAAACAGTTGGACCCCATTCAGACACAGTAGAGACCAGTTCTGGGGAGGAAACAGTGATGGATGTCTTCTCCAACTGATAATGCACAATGGTTTAGGAAGATGAAATAAAATACTACCAAGTTGGACAACAAAATCCTTAAGTTTACAAAAGGAGTTTTGCAGATGAGCTCTTCAATAGCCACATAGGTTCATGACCTTAGCTTTGTATTTCACCTAAAAAACCCCACAGTGATCTCTCTAGAACACTGCTTCCTACCAGGATAGTGGGATATCACCTCACCAGTAATTACTGGAGATTAGAAAGTCTCCAATATCGTTCCTTCTTCAGGCAGGTGTGTGGCAGGACCTGCTGGTCAGGCCAGCAGCTTTGCTAATCTCCCCCATTACCAAGTTCTGTGGTGATGCATGCCCATGGTGACAGAAGACACTCCACTCCTCTATCCACTGAGGATAAGCTTTTTCCCACCTTATTCTAATAGTAGCTACTTCCAGCTCTCACCCAGGTACTGCACTTAGCACAGGAGACAACATGGTTGCAGTGTGAAATGTGGGCCATGAAGGAATTCTGACAGCACTTCACTGTGTCTCGTTTTTACTGAGACAGACCAGATGAACATCATGTTCCTAGTCACTAGTGAATGAGTTTACTGTAATGATATAGCATTTTTTTTTTTAAAGTTCTGTTAAAGGTAAGTGGGAAACACTTAAGAACTTAGGCCAAGCAGAGTTGCACACATGTACCTCAGAGAAGAGTTTAGATGGGCACATAACATTTGCACAGCTGAGGAACGTGGTACCATAAGGGAAAAAGCTTGATTTTTTTAATGATTTTTCAATCAAAAATTATAAAACATATCCTTGAGCCCCAGGGCCACCTGTGTTGCAGGGTCGTGCAAACACCAGGTGTCTGCAGAGGTGTTTGTTTGGCAGTCTGTGGGCCTAGCAATGCTTATTTGCAGTCCAGAAAAATCCAACCTAACAGACCAACCCCCGTTTTTTTGCAGTCTTTCCACACTCTGGCTGATAGAATCAATAACGTACCATTTCCACACATAGCGAGCAGTAGCTGAGTTGTTCTGATTTGATGTAAACAGGCCTGAGGGGCTTCTCTTTGGAGCACTTGTCACAGGGACCAAATACAATTGCTAAAAAGGTCTGGTCGCACATCTTTGCAGTTGGTGAGAGCTGAAAGAGATGGAGAAGAAGGAAAGGGTGCATTCCAGTCCAGCACAAAGCTTCCCACTGCTGCTGTGCTAGCTAATGCAGCCTAGGCTTATATAGACATCTGTAGGCTGGATAATCTCTCTCTGTGACTAATCTTTTGAGCATGATGAACTGTCACTATATACAAAACAGTCACATGCTCTGCAGATTTTAATTTTACACAGAAAAATATAAAGCAAATATACACATGCCATTATAATATGTGCTGTGCACAGGGATTCACTACATGTGGGAAAGTACTTTTAATTTTTACTCAACGTCTGTCAGCAGTCAATAACCAGAAATGCATGACAACAGCTGAACTTTTGAGAAACTCCACTGATTAATACTTATTGTTTTTCCCCTGCCTAATTAAATAGTCAGTATTATACAGTCTTTTTAAAGCTGAAAAGATGAGCTAGGATTCCAGCAGTGGCAGCTAGAAAATATGAACAATATGCTTCTTGAGCAGAAATTGATGCTTCAAGCACACTGACAGCTGGGTCATTACGAAAACCCTTTTGTTCTGAAGCCAGGCACCTCTAGGATCAAAGAATTATCATCAACAGAGTATTAAAAACTACTTGAGAGTCAGAGAAACAAACAAGAACAATAATGTAGTGTCATTTTTCTCTGCACATTTTTCATAGGGAAAATAGGACCTTTCACCACTTCTAAAAATGGACGCTTTTAACGTTACTTAGACGTGTACATAAATAATGAATTTTTGGTAAACAATCAGAAGAAGCTATTGCAAGATAGATTTAAATGGAACAAAAGAAATTCAATCAGCTATGCAGATTTTAGAATTTGTTTGGCTGACCATTATATAAACCAAACTTTACTCTGTGTACCTGCCTCCATTCTGTTTATTCTTATGTATTTCAGTGGACTACATGAAAAATGAGATAATAAACCCAGAAATCCTGCCCACACTTAAGTCAATAAAAGTTTTGCTGCTGTCTCCAGGGGATGCATAACTTCAACCCAACACATGTGGGAAGCAATCTGTCCTGAAAAGAACTACAGCACTTTTAATCTAAAGTTTGCATGGAGCTTTCAGTCAGCTCTATGCAGTCCAGGAGGTTTATATTCCATTTGACGAAAAGCAGCAAATATGTCCTAAAGTTTTTAGTGTGTTCTTGTGCAAACGTGAGCCTGAGAACACAAGCTGCCATCCTTTCAGGGAGCAGGTATTGCTCATGGCTTTTAAGTGACTACAGCTCCTGGGCTCAGTTCTGCCAGATTCTTAAAACTGGACATTCACAACTGAATAATCTGTTATTCCAAGGTTCTTAGAATTAGTGGTTCCCACTGAGGGCAACTCATGTGATATAATCAGGGATTTATAAACTTGATGTGAAGCCATCTTATTTGAACAAAACATCATCACTAGCTCTAGAGACTTTTGACAAGGATCTGTTAGGCTTGGAATGAATACTCTGGGCAGAATTAATCTTTGATAAAGTGTGAGAATTTCCAGTAATAACATACAGGGTAATCCTACCTGCCTATCAGTATTTTACTTCAGATGAGATTATGACACATTACAAAATTTTGCTATAATAGAAGCCATCAAAACTTCTGAATAATTAAAAACCAGTATTATATCTGAGATTGTCATAATGACAGATTTGTATACTATTTTATAAAGATATTTAAACCCAAAAGGCCTAAAACCATTACAACTTCTTGCATTGTAGCCTGAAATTTTAACCTTATTAGGTTTTTAAAGTCACATTAGAAATCTAAAAATGGTAGCATGGTACATCATTAAAAATATATTACTTACAGAGAAATTCTGTACAATGAAGTTTGTTGATAAGTAAGAAAAATTACCCACCTTTTCAAACAGCAAGAACCTGGAGAGTCTTAAGATGACTGAATCAGCCCCGTGCTACTGCTAATGTAGAAAGACAACCTTCCTACTAAGTCTACTTAAAGTGTATTTAAAGCTCAGCCTCTCCAGTTGCATCACCTCAGATCAGCTACGTGCTGATGATTACTGATGATAAAGACTTTATTTTAGCTGCCCTCCTTCAGAATACAGAATAAAGGACAGAAACTAGATCTTACCTGCCTGTTCCATATAGCAGCAATTTTTGGGTGGTTTCGAAACAGCAAAGTTGAAACATACTGGGGAGGTGATTGACAACTGATTTTTCCAAATAGCAATTTGACATTCTGATGAATAGCACTGTTGCTGTTTATCTCATATTCTTAACAAAATTTAAAAGTCAAACAAATTGATTAGTGTCCACGCTAGTTCCTCCTTGGTTATACTTTTACTATTTACCTGTTCTAAGACAACGAATTTAAAATCAATAGGATTAAAAATTTCTGCTTTTCTTGCACTCTTTGAAAAAATTTTGGGGAAATTCATGAAAACATGTCTGAAAAATTTAAAAAATGCTGAAGGTCATATCTACTATTAAGACTCTATGGAAGTCACTGAAATTATGCCATTAGATGTCTGCATTTGATAGTCAAGAGGATCTGAGACAATAGGAGGAAAAAAAAATAGGCCTCAGCCCAGCAGAGACTTGGGCAGAAATTTCTTGATTATAGTATTATTTTGTAATTCTCTTTTTTATTAGAGTATTATGGAAATACAGGACTGAAAGGGACCACCTATGCTGCTGAGTTCTACTCCCAGAAACTGCAGGAGTCACATGTCTAAACACATCCAAAGATGCCAAGAGCATCTCACACATCTCTCCATAAACCATTCCAATGCTGTGCCACTGCAGTCAGGCTCACCATTCAACACTTCATGGTCCTTGTGGGTCCCTTCCAACGTGGCATATTCTGTGATTTTGTGATTTTCCTATTTGAACGAAATAGCTTTCACTTTTACTATCATTCTAGGACAGTTGGCCTCAGTAATGCCTCTTCCATGTATCTGCCTTCACTAAAACTGCTCCTTATATTTAGAAGAATTACAGAGGACAAAAAGAATTTTGTACTTACATACTGGCTGAAGGCATTAATGTCAGCAAAAGCAAGGTCAGTTTCTGAGAGCATACAATAGACCCGATTATTTTTAACTTTCTTTAAAAAATATATTTTGCTGTTTGCATACACAGTGTTAACAGCATACTTCACACAATCCTCTTAAAGTAACCAAGCATCAGATTGTCAGAGCAATTTTTTCTTGATCAACAGTTTTTGTCATAAAGGACATCCATGCCTTGGTGCTTCTGTGTGATGTGGCTGAAAGAGTGGGCTGTGATTTTACTCACGTCATCCCAGGTAACAGACATTCATCCCCAGTAACTGTAAAAAAAGGCTGTACACAAATTACAGCAACAGAAGTTGCTTGCATTAAAATATTTCCAGAAATTCGTGAGGAGCCAAGGAGAGCATGCCATGCTGACAGGAAGATACACAATGTTACAGCAAAGCAACTGGACCATTAAATAAATGGTTATGGTGCAATACAAGACTGACAGTGCTCACTAATGTTCACATAGTTCCAAATAACTTCTTCCAAATGATTCCATACTGAGAACATAGCTATTCATTCACACAGAGCACTACAAAGTGATTTAAAAGCTACTTTATTTAACACATTAAAATACCAGTCTACCTACATATGTGATCTTTTGTACAGCTTTTATTGTTGTTGGACGAACCAAAAAATTTTTCCTTCATGTATTTTGAGTATATCTCTGTGGATATCATGATGAGTATTACACTGTACATAGTAAACACCAAGAACACTAAATAGCAAGAATGATTCCTTCTTTATATTTACAGATTGTTCTGTGAAATTAAACAAGTAGTGCTAACACTGTATAATAATAATAAAAATAAAATCAATTGTTCTTTCCTGCAATATTTAAATTAACTCAATTAATTAGAGTCCATCAAATATTTCAAAGCTTTAGCACTTGATTTTAATAACTATGTCTAATAAAGTAGTTTAGAAAACCAGCATTATTTACTGAGGAATTTCTAAGGATAGTTATCATTGCAGTGAGGTGAATGCTGTTTCCCCAGTTGTTCTGACAGAGTCCAGAACTAAATAAAGTTACTTTTACTCCCAGATTACAGGGAGAAGGCTGAACAAAGCAAAAAGGAGATGACTACTGCTTTTAAGGATCCTGCAATTGAAAAGAAATAAATAAAAATGAAATGTAAGGAATTAGGCTTGGTTTATCAGTAACAGCAGACCACAGTAACTGCATCTGCTCCTATTCAGTCTCTGGACTAGAGGAGGGAAACCAGAAAAAAGGAGAAAGGTGATGTGCACATGTGCATACTCAGTGTATATTCTGAAATACATTGCACTAGAGATGGAACCAAACCAGGAGATGACTCCTGTCTTTCAGAGAACCAAGCCTGTAATTCAAACCTGGATCAAAACATGAACTTTATATCTGACTTTTCCATTACAATAACTGATATTAAATCCAAACTTGTCACTGCAGAGAACAAAACTGAAACCTGTCTTGAAGAAGAGCACTTGAGTCCTTGCTTTGGCCAAAGATCTGTGCAGAGTCCCCAGGCTGCAATGCAAGCAGAGGGAGCCTGGCCAGCATGCCCACAAAAAGACAATGTGGGTTTGTAAACAGAAATTCTCTTGGATTGATCTCTGTTCCCCAGTTTCAATGTAGCTATTCATGTTGACTTTTTTTAAATAACTGTAGAAAGACCTTCCCTTCCCTCCTACTACAGTCTTCTGGAGGAACTGTTGTGAAAGACTACTTTTGTGAAAGAAAGAAGGATATAAGAAGTGAAGATGAAAGCTACCCTCAAACAGATCCAGTATATCAAGGCAAAGAATAGAATTACCTTGTGAAGAAAAAACCCTCTTGTTACAGGAAGCGAAGACAAGGAAAATTGTAAAGCAGTAACATCTATCACATGGCAGTCTTCCCCTCTGACTGGTGCTGACAGGGCAGCAACACAAACCTGTCAGAGAAATGCTTTTCTTGTCAGGTTTGGACTAAAAAACTGTG